GGATTTACTTGTCTTTGCCTCTGAATTATATTTGACTCTTGCTGACAGAACCTTCAGCCTCTAAACCCCTGACTGAATTGCCTCATCATTACAAAAATAATCCTCATTTTCTTCTTTAGCCTTTTGTGATGTGAAAGGAACTTGACCTCCTTTTCCCCCTAGCAGTATCTTTGTGTGACACACATAGGAACAGTTAGAAATGTATTCTAGGTACTCTGGAGATGGGAAAGGTTGGGAATGCAGCCAGTGGTCAGAATGTACTTTGTGGTGTTGCTCTTTTTATTTGTGTGTGGGGGTTTTTTTAGCAGTGTTCTCCATCAGGGTATTTCTGATGCTGTGTGACACTTTCTTGGCTTTTACATCAGCAGCTTGGTGAACAAAAATGTTGTCTATTATCCAAAAAGTACTGATCCTCAAGAACAGCAAATGCAGTAGACTAAGCATCATGAGATTAAAGAAGCCTTTGCATTTCTTGCTGTTTGGTTTAGACAGTCTCAGTATTAAGCTCCTTAAATTATAGGGGTTATGAGTTGGGTTTTTGTTAAGTCTTTGGATAGACTAACCACTTATCTCCAGGCTTTAAGGATTAAGGTGGTAAACACTTGGGTTCTTGTTTCATTGTGACCCTTCAGCTGGCACAGAACTTATTTTTTGCTGAGATCTTACCAGAGCCCAAATAATTTAAGGCTGCTTGTCTTGGAAATACTTTCAAGTGGTGGTTGTAGATGACTGGTTGATAGGAAGACCATATTGAAACCTACCACAGTCCTCCTTATTGTCAAATATTGCAGTCCTCCTGTCAAAGTGGCTCAGAAGGGAAAGGTTTTCTTGGTTGGTTGGTTGTTTTTTAACTTAAGCAAAACAGAAGAAGAGTTAATTTAAGAGAATTGTCAATTATAAATGCATTGGTGGCAGAGAAAGCCATGATGTTAAGCTCACCTGCAGCTGCCTTTCCAGAGGCTTTTTGAATACTCTGGGAAGAAGGATTGATTCTGAAAAAAAAACCTTCTGGCACAACTATTGTTATAGGCTGATGCCTTATTCCAAGCAGCAAAACTGAGTAACTTTCCTGATTTATTTATTTATTTATTTATTTCCCTCTTGGATAATCTTTCCTGTTTCCTTTTGTGGCTGGTGAAGAATTCTGAACATTTCTAACTAAGCATCTGGTGCTGACGATGACCTTTTATTTGAATAAGAACTCGTTTGATTTATGTGTGGTTTATTTACTGTGAAGGTAACCTTTCCCAGCAGGTCACAGACAATTCCAACTGTAAGATGCATCAAACACTGAATGAAGGAATGTTCTACTTTTCTTCTACTTGGAATACATATTTCATAAGAATGTAATGTATCTCAGCTTGCTTAATCTGCTGTATTTGCTCAAGGAATTTAGCTAAAATCTGCTGAGAAAGGAAAGAGTTTATATTCAGCTATGGTTTCTTGCATACTCAGTTTCATCGACTAGATTCCAAATGTAGGTCTCAGTACAGCTCCTGAACAAGGCAGTATGGTTTTAAGCAATACCTTCAAGGATATTCCTTCATCCTGGAAACTTGTCAAGTGAATGATTCTTTGATGTTTTAATAGGGAAACCATTGTGGGAGATCTTGTGGTATGGCATTAATCATGTTATGAAGATTAATGCCTATCACTGCTCTGAGCATCAGAGTGTTAATTCTTGCTTCCATGGCTTTCCTATGTAAAATGTTGACTATTTAGATGAAGATATGCAAACTAGTGTAATATTTTTCTGTGAATGAAGAGGGAGATAGCACATCATTCATCATGAGATGGAGTCAGCTTCTGAAATTAATATTCAACATGAGGTATTGCTGTCCTATCTGTCAATTTCCTGTGAAAACAGGACAACAGATAATCTTTAACAGACCTGGTTAAAAGTAATTCCTTTTCAATGTGACTTTTTTGTGGACCACATTAATTAAAAGGATCAGAAAGTGTAAAATCTTATACTTTGGAGGAGAGAGAGGTCATGCTTCTGGGTTGGGCACGTTTGTAATTATAAGAGGTTCTGTGATTTAAGGAAATTCAAGCAGATGTCCGTAGCCAGGCCGTTATCTGTGGCGATCTGTTGAAATAAGGTCACATATAGATTTCTAGATATACCAAAGTTTTGATTTGCCTTAGAAGTTTTGTTCTTTTACTGTTTATACTGAGATGTAGCTGCCTCCTTTCAAATGGATGCATGTAAGGTTTGTGCTTGGTTGCTCAGCCTGTCACAGTTATTGAAGCCTCTTGCACAGCCTAGCCAGAGTAATCTGAGAAAGAACGAAGGAAAGACTGTGAATATTGTCACTTTCTATCACTTCTATACCAGTAAAATTAAAAACATCTCTAGTGAAGTTCAGTAATCTAGGTACATAGTATTGCTTTTACGGACATTTGCCATTAAATCAGGCTTTTATTTTAATGTTATAGAACATTCTACTTTCCCTGAGTATTTCCAAATGGCCCATTGTACTAAAAGTAAAAACTGTAGGGTATTTGCAGGATCAGAAAGTTTTTTGTCTGCTGAAAAGCTAACAACAAAGTTATTTTGATGGTATTTGAGAAATGCGTCTCAGACTGTGACCTATGATACCTTGGAAGAATCTCCCATTAAATATTAACGGACGTTGCAGAGATAGTTTTGAACCTGCAGAGAAGTTTTTTGTTTCTCTTTTTTGGTATGCTTCCTAGAATTGGCCTTATACATGATGTAAGCCTTAGAAATGACTTGAAAGTAGATAATACTTTCATATCTATAGCTGTAAAATTGACAGCCATTAAAGCACCATACTGATGGGCACTCCTGTTTGCTGTTCTCACCTACTAAAAAAAAAAAAGCATCTTTGAAAAAATTATACTCTTTTGTTATTTCTGTTGCACTGAAGCTTCAGTCTTTCATATTCTCAAACTGGTGTTGCTCCCAGTGATAATGGTGGTGCTTTACTATTCTGGCTAAGCCTTACCTAGATGTAATTCATAAAGAAGTAATACAGACTGTTAAATCTAAACATTTTCCAGCTCTGGTCCTGTCATCCAGCATGCTGCATTCCCTTTTGTGTAGCATTGTTGGCCTGTTTTATAAACATCATCTCTTTTCTATCATCAGTCTTTCAATGAAATATGAAGTAGTGTTATACCAGAAGAAAACCCAGTGAGGTCATTCTTCCGAGATGGAGCAAGATGTGAACTAATCTGTTTTGAAACTTGCTTTCCAGTCAGCTCTGCACACATCTGATACTAGTTGGATGTGTATTGTTTCTGTAAATCATTTGCATGGTGCTCTCACAAGACCTTTCTGAAGTGAAGATAGGACATTGTTGCTTCCCTTTTATTTGCAAGGACAGTGTTCTAGTTTCTGTAATGATCCTGAGAGAAATGTAGTGTATCGTTGAATCGGTGTAGGCTGTTAATTGCATCTGTGTTAGATTCTAGGTGTGCATAAGTGGTTTGCTTATGTTTTCTAGTGTTTTTGTCGAAACGTCATTAAAGTTAATTGATCCAGAGTTCTGTGGTTGCTTCTTTTTGATGAAACTGCATGTGGGCAGAAATTTGGTTAAATAGTAAATGTAGCCCACTGAATAAAAACAGTCTCAGATTTTCTGCATGTGGTTTCCTTAACTTGCAAGTGTAAAGAGAAGGGAGTGTAGAGCCAGTGTCTGAGAAAAATGGCTCTCTAAAGCATTTAGAGTATGCTGACGTGAATTAGCATTGCCCTGTTTGCTGTGATGCCTCTTCTGAGCTAAAGCAGAGCTGCAGGAGTTGTGTTTCTGTCTGATAAGGTAGGATGAAAGTTTTTGCTTTTTCGCTTACTCATCTTTTATCCTTTAGTGTGTGTATGGCCCAGTAAACCTATCTCCTTTCATTATATTGTCAGTGGTTTGTATTAGAGCTCAACCAGTGGTCCAATATATAAGCTTGGTCAAGTTATTTTACCTTTGTCTACCTTGTTTGCACTCTTTCGTCCAGAGTTGGCCAGTATAGCTTTGAGCTTTAAGCGGCTTGCAACAAGCCTAGCTCTGATGCTGGGGCTATAAAGATACAAAGCTAGCAAGAAGACTTCTGGGATCCCTGGATATGGGTAGCAATGTACTGCTGAGGGCTTCCAGCATTTTTGCTGCTGGGACCTATCATGCCTGCCAGCCCATAGTGGTGACAGCTCCAGGGACCGATCCTGTCGGTGAAACAATTTGTGTTGCTGTTTCTCCTTTTGCAGCTGAGATTTTTGGTTCTTTGTTATGCAAAGGTTTTGGCACATGACTTAAAAGGTTGTGAAAAAGCTGATCATTTCTGCCCTAGATGCTGAACAGTTTTTCAGTGACTTTTGTGTTCATAAAATATTCGCTCATCAGTGTAAGACCCAACTGCTGTTGTGATGCTCTGGATAAACAGGAGTTATGCAATAATCACAGATCATGAACGTACGTGCTCAGCTGTCACAGCCTCAAATACCTGAATCTGAAACTTGCTCACCTGGAGACTTATTGTGAGACTTTTCCACAGGGGAACAGTTAAAGCTTAGTGTAGGTAAAAGTGGCTGAACATTTGTGTATTAAGACTAAGATTCATCTGAATGGCAGGGATAGAGGGCATGTAACCGTGGTACTGTGGCACAGACAGAGTTGTGACCTGCAAAATTGTATACAAAGTAGATAATTTGGTGGCTTTGACTAGTTCATATAGAGTCGTATATGATTCTAGTAACACTCTTGAACCAATTGTGTATATATTTTTTGTGTTAAAATGGGGAAAAAAAAAAAGATAGTTGGCACAGATCCTGAAGTTTCTTATGCCGTTATGAGAACTGCTGGTCAAAAGAGAATGGGCCTCTGCATCTTTCCCATCTTTTCTTCTTTTCTAGAATCCTAGGGATGAGTATTTCTAGTATTCTCAACATCTTTATTATGTCAGTCGTTTTTACCCTGTAGAATAATGTCAGCATTTGCCACCATCTGTAACTGCTTAGCACATTCTTTTCTTATCTTTGTTTTCAGCTGTACATCCTTGACCCCTGGACCTAGCTGTGATCGGTTTAAGCTACATATCCCTTATGCTGGAGAAACACTCAAATGTAAGTTAAAAACTATTGCTATTGCATCTTGGCCTTTCTTTCAATGTTCTATATCATGCTAAGTTTTCCAGTGTGTCTGACTTCAGAGGTTTGAGATACCTGTGTTTGTTGTTTTTTCTTAAAGGTTCAGCTCTAAGAATATGCGACTGTAAAAACATCTAATTTTTAACTTAAGTTTACAGCCTTCCTTAATGCTACAAATTTGAAAACATGAATCCTGAAAGCCAAAAGTCACCTCCCAGCATTTCTAATAAAATCTCATGCCCAAGACAATCTCATGACCATTTTTAGACTCACTTCTGATTTGTATATGCTTTGTGTTGTTTCCTTCTCTTTTATGAAGAATTCCTTATTAAGCTCCAATAAAAGTAGTTGGTCTGATATTTTATTAGGTGTCTCTAAACAGTAACTGCCATAATTGACCAAATTAGAGAAATGTGACTTTTTTTTTTCTGGTTTAGTGGTGTGGTTAAATCCTCCTTACCCTTGGAGGCTCTGTAGATAGCTGGCTCATTTGTCCACTCTTCTATTATTTTGTTTTATTTCAAAGGATTAGGATAAAATTTGCTTTTTTATGTTTTTAGAAGGTAAAAGCCAGTTTTCTAAACACTTGAGTTGTTAAAAATGGTAAGGTTGTGTTGTTTTTATCTCTTAACAACTGAAACATGAGAAGGGATGAAGAATTTTCAGATAAAGTAAAATTTAAAATTTGGTGATTTTAGATTTAGGGCAGCGCTGGGGAAACCACGTCTGTAGTACTGTGTCCAGTTCAGGTCTACCTAGTGCCAGAAATGCATGGACACAGTGGAATAAGTCCAGCAAAAGACCACAACAGTGACTGAGGGACTGGAGCCTCTGTTGTGCAAGGAAAGGCCAAGAGAGCTGGGGTTTCTCAAGAAGAGAAGGCTCAGGGCAGATCTTTTCAGTGTGTATAAATACCTGATGGGGGGAAATGGAGAAGATGGAGCCAGGCTCTTCGCAGTGGTGGTCACTGTAGGGAAATGGTCACAAATTGAAATGCAGAAAATTCTATTTAAATATAATAACCCCCCCCTCATTTTGCGAGGGTGGTCAGTAAGTGGAATACAGTGTATTCGGAGCTCGTGTAGCTTGTATTTCTCCATTCTTGGAAATACTCAAAAAGCAACTGGATGTGGTCCTTATCAGTCTGTTCTTGGTGACGCTGCTCTGGGCTGAGGGATTGGACTAGGCAGTCTCTAGAGATGCTGTCCAAGCTCAGCTACCTTGTGGAGTCTGTGGAAAATAATGCTGTCTGGAGGCGCATGTACTCAGTGTGAACAGAAATGGTAAACACTGCAAACGCTGCTTTGATAGAATCCACTTAGACTGCATCATACATATGCTGGAGCTCTCCAAGGCATTTAAATAAGTTGTATTCCTTCTGTAGTAGTTTTTCTTGTCATTATGTAGTGTGCTAAAAGCCCTTCTTTATGAATAGAAATCAACACAATTAAACTTCTTATCACTAGAAGTACTTTAAATCTTCCATTTGGCACTTACAAAGAAAGTTGACTTTCCCAGTAGGTGGTCTAGAAGTTTGCTCGTGTGTTTGAGAGGGGAGCTAGGCTCGTGTATCAGTCTACTGTGACTATTTTATCTATTCTAAAAGTATGAAATTATGGCTCAAGAGGCTTTACTAATCATTCCCAAGAGATAAAAATGAAATATTAAGTCCTAGCTAGCAATTATTCAAAGAAGAAAAGGATATAGCTGTGCATTTATGCAGAATATTCAGTAAGTAACGGCCTTATTTATATGAAGCCAACAACCCTACTGGGTAGATTTTGTCTTTATTTAAACTTCTGTTTAAAAAAAAATGTGATACTGTGTAGCAGACTCAACCTGTTGAGTCTTCATGTGTCCTGCAGTGTGTGGTAGATTCTGCATGAGACTTGTTTGATGACAACAATCAAGATTTGGTGAAAAGAGGCTTCATTGGATGATACTGCTTTAGAGAGTAGTATTTTATTTTCTATGGGACTGTAGTAACTCTCTTATTTATCACCATACAGGGCCTTACTAGTACATTCTGAGAGCTTTACATCTTTACTGGTTTTTAAGTAGGTGCTATAATTGTTCCAGATTCATAAAGGAAAATTAGTAGATTAAAATGCCTGTATGCAAGGACATAGGAATACAGACTATAATAACATACTAAATGACTGTAGGCCAGTTAGAATACCTAGAAATACGATTATGGACTATGCCTTGAATTTAAATATTGAGAAATCAGCTGCTTACACCCCCTCCCCAGTTCTTTTATTTTGTACATCACATAAGCAATTAAAGGAAACAACTATAATGCTACTGCTCTTCTCCATCTTTGCAAAACCCATACCACGCATTCTAACCATGCTATGTATTTTAAGGTGATCAATTGAAAGTGATGTAAACAAGTGTATCTTTTCAGAGGTACCTAATAATATCAAGTAATAATAATACTCCACATTTCAGCATTACATGTTTGGAAATGCTGTGAATCGTTCAGTCTCACAGCATGTGGAATAAATAGTGATGTGGGCAGATTCAAGAAAGCTTGAATAATTTTGTGTTTAGATCTGTAATGTTGGCAAGGGAAGACGGCCATGGTGTGCAACCAGAGATTTGTAGATACTTTGTTGTAGGCTGTTGCTAGATATGTTATCTTTCAAAGGCAGAATATTTCTGCAAAAGAAAGTTGCGAAATCTGCCAGAATAAAAAGGTTGGCTGAAAATGCTCAAGATCACCAATGTACGGTCTTTATTATGTGGTACCAAATACAGGCTCAAGTGTGTAGTTCCTTTGTGGTTTGTGTTACATCCTCTTTGCAACAGATCAGATCTTTGCATATCATCAATCATAACCGCTGCCACTGCACAAATACCCTAATATGAATCCTAGTGTGTCGAAAACTGTTGGTTTGCTACTTTAGGGAAGTATAATTGCATAGTCACAGTCCTCGTTTCTGAAAGACCAGAAAATTCACTGTTCCTTGAAAAAGGAGAAAGTACTTGCAGACAAGGCAGTGGCTGACTACCTATAGTGTAAAACAATTGTCTTATTAGCTTTGGTAAGATCTTGTAAACATCTTGTGAGTTAACAATGGCTTGTTCATAACTAATGTGTTTCTGGAGATCCAGCTAGTTACCTAATCAGGGTGGTTTTTTTTTCAGATGCCATGTTTCACCTTACTCTTGCATGTATTTCAAGCTGCTGGAATGTTATTCAGCTCCACCTAGGAAGCTTGGAGACCTTGGAGATAACCACAATTTTATGCTGGAGAAAAAGCTATGTCAATGTGTGTTGTCAGGGGGCTTATAAGGATGCTGAGGAGGGAGTCTTCATTAGGGACTGTAGTGACAGGACAAGGGGTAACAGGTTAAAACTTAAATAGGGGGAGTTTAGATTGGATATAAGGAGGAAATTCTTTTCTGTAAGGGTGGTGAGGCACTGGAATGGGTTGCCCAAGGAAGTTGTCAATGCTTCATCCCTGGTGGTGTTGAAGGCCAGGTTGGACAGAGCCTTGGGTGCCATGGTTTGGTGTGAGGTGTCCCTGCCCATGGAAGAGGGGTTGGAACTGAATGATCTTAAGGTCCTTTCCAACCCAAACTATTCTATGATAAATTAGTTTGTGATACCATAAGTTTTGTGTTTTCATGGCCAGAATGGTTAGAAAACTTGAGTCTACACTTCCTTGACTGTCAGTTAAAATCTGAGGCAGACATTGTTTTATCAGTTCATCCAGCACTTAATGCTGTTTTGTTAAACTTAGTGCTTTCCTTTATATTTGCATTTTTCAAAGCTTGTAATGTTTGACTCCAAGAAGACTGTCTGTAATATCCAGGAAGAGGTTGAATCTGTGTTCCAAGGATAAAGCCTACTTAAAGTGGCATGCAGAGCTGTCCTTTATTGCTAACTGGACAGCAGTATCTGCTGAGTAAAGTTTGGTATTCTTTCTGGAGAAGTACTTGTGTATTTTCAGGTGAAGTGTTTTGTAACTCTTGCAGGTATTTTGGTTTTCCTTGCTAAACCATCAAAGCAGATGTCACAGTGGAAACTGTCAGGCTAAGCAGAGTTCTAAGCTGTAATGGGCTTTATTGAATAATATCAATAATTAAAATATACCATTAAGAATCAGTTCCTTGGTCATGGCAATTTTCTCCCAGTGAACCCTGGAATCTGTTGATTTTTGGTTTTCCTTTGTCACTCAAGCTTTCACTGCTTCTTGCTGATAAGAGAGGTTGATTCTTGGTAGTATTTTGTTTTTGTGTATTTTTTTTTTTTGCCTATGCTCTTCAGATTTTCTTTTTCAGGCACTGATGCCTCCCTCCCTCTCTCTCTGTCTTTCAGTGCTGTCATCTGGAATTTCACAGTGATTAAACAATGTGTTGCCCTTGCAATGCTACTGTTCTCTGTGGCCTCTTGAACTCTAGTATTTGAATCTTCTGTCTGATTTTTCACTGTTTTTTCTGTGAGAGGATTACAGCTCTGGGTTCTACTGGCACCACTTTGATTTCCTTGATCTCAAAGAACATTTCCTTTGTCTCGTTTAAAGCTTGGATTTTCCTTTTTTGCTTCTGATTTCTATTTTTTCCTGTCTTACTCATTTTAGTTACAGGTCTTAGAGGAGGAAATCACAGTTTTGCTGCCTAAGTGGTCTAAGAATATAGCTCATAATGCACTGTACAGAATTTCATCTGCCTTTATTCCCGTGATGGACAGCAACACCCCAGCAAAAATGGAATTACTCCTGCATCTTCTCCCAGTAGTAATTTTGTATTTACCAAAGTTGTGCTGTCATTCCAGGAACTGTATCTTTCTTGCCAGCCAATTAATAATGGGCTCTATAGATAGTCTATTACTGAATTTGACTTCAAGCCTCTAGACCAAAAATCTTTATAGTGGGATCCAGTGACAAGTCAGCAGGTCTGCATTTAGTTCATTTAAATCCTGTCCTACTGCTGACTACACTGACTTGTTATCTTGGTTGCAGATTGTA